CGACATCTGCCAGCACCTGTGTTTACCCCTTTGTCCCCCCTCTCCACCAAGTGCAATGTCAGTAGGTCACTGTCACTTTTGATACCTTGCACACAAAACCGCAGTGTTAGCAAGATCAGGCTTGATCTCTGCTAGCACTAGTAAGTACATTTTTTTTGTGTCCATGACAGCCAGGTGCTCTTTTTCCTGTAAGTCGTACTAGGTACCTGAAAATTTAGTGGCCAAAATGTCCAAAGAAAGGTACATTAATGAAGAGGCCTGCAGGATTCTGAGTATGTCTGAGTGAAGGTAAAGCCTCACTGGCAGATTCAGGTCCAAAATACGAACCTGTTTAAAGCAGCGGCACCCCAACAGATAGCTCAAACAATCGAGAAGAAGTCCCTGCTAAGGTTAGGTGTACCCACCCCATGCCCAGGTTTCTGAGGTGTTAGAATTGCATGATGATTCTCATATGCAGCATATGAGTCTTTATACTAGTGCCATGCAACCTTTTGGTGAACTGGTGAGCACCAACATTCTAGTATATCCTGACTTTTTACATACCAGCACTGCAATGTCACGTAGCAAGTCCCATAAGTGCAGTACAAGCTGGTGAGGTGGCTAACCCAAGTAGCATCCCGCAGCCATCAACAATTTGAACACAGGCCTGTAGAGCCCATAATGTCCTTCTGGACTTCTGCAAATCCTAATTGGCAGCCCCCAAAGATTCTGCAGCACCTGTACTCCCCCCATTCACTGCCCAACCCAGAATTCAGGTGGAAACAGCACATTTAACTTCTCCCCTTGATTTTTTTTAGCTGTTTTTCACAGAAGATATGTATTGATGGATTGTGGACCAAAGCAATTTACTGTATATGCTGACCAGTACATTACTGCTAACCCAAAATTCAAACCTTAATGTATGTTATATGACATGAAAATCATGCTTAAATAATGAACACATAACAATAAATAGTGAAATAAAGTCCCAAATGTGAAATCAAGTGAACATAAAATTCCTTTCACATCCAGAAGGTGATAAGTGTTCTGTACTCCCCCCGCCTGTGTGCCCCCTCACTCACCAACTTTAATGGACTCTTATGGTGAAATAAGAGTTTTTCCCACTTTTGGTGGGGCATAGGAAGTCATGCTGGAGCTTATAGTCCTCCTGATTAAATATTGCTTGCCATTCTCAGTGATTCAAATGTAGAGCTGATAGATATATACATGTAAAGAGTGGAGAGAGGCATCCAAAATAGTGTAATTCCATTTGTTAGTAAAAGCAGACACACTGGTATTGCACTCACATGTTTCCAGGTACAATAAGCATGAATCTCTAAGTGTACAATAGTGGGTCGCTAGTATTCCACAAAACTCCTAAGCTTAGCATCGCCACGTCTGTGCTTGATGCATTTCGCCCCTCCCACTGGGAGTCCTCACAGGCATAGAACCTTTGCCTCTGTGGACGCCCAGTGAGAGGGGCGAAATGCATCAGAACACATGTGGTATCCCCATAGAAATGGCAGAATGTATTTTGGGGTGTAATTCCACATATACCCATGGCATGTGTAAGCATTATATCATTTAAATAACAATTCTGTTAAAAAAAAAAGTTTTGTCATTTTCCCAAAAAATTAAATCTTTCAGGGACTCAACATGCCTCTCAGCAAATAGCGTAGGGTGTCTACTTTCTGAAAAAGAGTAATTTTTTGGGGGGGGGGGGTTGTATTGCCCTGGCATTTTAGCACCTCAAGAAATGTGAGTCAGGAATGTGCAGTCAGAAAGTAAAAGCTGTGTAAATTCCATTATCTATACCACAGTTTGTAGACGCTATAACTTTCAAACAAACCAATCAATATAATGGGATTTATTGTGATTTTTTTCAACAAAGACATGTAGCAGAATACATTTTGGCCTAAATTTATTATGAAATTTGAGTTTATTTTTATAACAGAAAGTAGATAATATAGTTTACAAAACAATCAGTCTTTTTTCATTTATATCAAAAAACATAAATCAAATATCAACAAAATGAAGCTCTATTTGTGTGAAAAAATTATATAAATTTTGTTTGGGTATAGTGTTTCATGACGTGCATTTACCAGTTAAAGTAGTGAAAGTGCCGTATAGCAAAAAATGGTCTGGTCATAAAGGGGGGTAAATCTTCCGGAGGGCAAGTGGTTAAACTCTTTTTTAGTGACTTAAAAACCTAGAAAGTATCCATATTAGCACTGGGGTACCCACTTGTAAGAGGGGCCAGATGGTTGGTACCCAAATTGGAGTAAATGCACATAGAGACCAAGGAATGCAGCACAATGTACAGGTGAAACTCGAAAAATTAGAATATCGTGCAAAAGTTCATTTATTTCAGTAATGCAACTTAAAAGGTGAAACTAATATATGAGATAGACTCATTACATGCAAAGCAAGATAGTTCAAGCCGTGATTTGTCATAATTGTGATGATTTTGGCTTACAGCTCATGAAAACCCCAAATCCACAATCTCAGAAAATTAGAATATTACATGCAATCAATAAAACAAGGATTGTACATAGAACAATATCGGACCTCTGAAAAGTATAAGCATGCATATGTACTCAGTACTTGGTTTGGGCCCCTTTTGCAGCAATTACTGCCTCAATGCGGTGTGGCATGGAAGCTATCAGTCTGTGGCACTGCTGAGGTGTTATGGAAGACCAGGATGCTTCAATAGCGGCCTTCAGCTCTTCTGCATTATTCGGTCTCATGTCTCTCATCTTTCCCATAGATTCTGTATGGAGTTCAGGTCAGGCGAGTTTGCTGGCCAATCAAGCACAGTAATCCCACGGTCACTGAACCAGGTTTTGGTGTTTTTGGCAGTGTGGGCAGGTGCCAAGTCCTGCTGGAAAATGAAGTCAGCATCCCCATAAAGCTCGTCTGCGGAAGGAAGCATGAAGTGCTCCAAAATCTCCTGGTAGACGGCTGCGTTGACCCTGGACTTAATGAAGCACAGTGGACCTACACCAGCAGATGACATGGCTCCCCAAATCAACACAGACTGTGGAAACTTCACACTGGACTTCAAGCATCTTGCAGTGTGTGCCTCTCCATTCTTCCTCCATACTCTGGGTCTTTGGTTTCCAAATGAGATGCAAAAGTTGCTCTCATCAGAAAAGAGGACTTTGGACCACTGAGCAACAGACCAGGTCTGTTTTTCTTTAGCCCAGGTAAGACGCTTCTGATGTTGTTTGTTGTTCAGGAGCGGCTTGACAAGAGGAATACGACAATTGAAGCCCATGTCCAGGATCCGTCTGTGTGTGGTGGTTCTTGATGCACTGACTCCAGCCTCAGTCCACTCCTTGTGAAAGTCCCCAAAACTTTTGAATGGCCTTTTCCTGTCAATCCTCTCCAGGCTGCAATCATCCCTGCTGCTTGTGCACCTTTTTCTTCCACACTTTTCCCTTCCACATAACTTTCTATTAATGTGCTTTGATACAGCACTTTGGGAACATCCAACTTCTTTTGCAATTACCTTTTGAGGCTTTCCCTCCTTATGGAGCGTGTCAATATTCTAATTTTCTGAGATTTTGGATTTGGGGTTTTCATGAGCTGTAAGCCATAATCATCACACTTATGACAAATCACAGCTTGAACTACCTTGCTTTGCATGTAATGAGTCTATCTCATATATTAGTTTCACCTTTTAAGTTGCATTACTGAAATAAATTAACTCTTGCACGATATTCTAATTTTTCGAGTTTCACCTGTAATGACTCAAAGTTCCAACAATGTGGCAACAGGGCCTGAATATCATGGCTGAATCTCCATTTACAGAAGGACTTGTGGAACACATTCTCAATACTGTAGAAGACACTTTAGCAGGCTCACGATACCCAACAGCATTTGACTGAGAAGGGGACTGGAAGGCAATGTGGCAACAGGGCACCCAAGAGACAGAAGAAAGGAGGTCATTAGGTAGCAGCTCAGACATAAGGTTCCTACACTGTCCCTCCTCCACTGGAACCTTTCCTTTTGCTAGACCTACTGTCCCTCACCAACAGGTTCCTATCCTGACCTATCCACTTCAAACTACAATGGGACAGTGCTATTTACTAGCACTGCCCTCAGTAAAGCTGGCTGCAGGGGTCATCCAGTGTAGCAGTGTCCAATTGGATGGCTGTTCCCCTGATGACACCTATAGAGGCCTAAGAGGAACAAGATTTCCTCTTCTCCTCCATCCTCTCTGTATAGTGGCTGCTATAACAGTGCCACCTGTGCAGGGAGGCTGAACTACACCTGCCTACACACTAATGGGGACAATACATAGTATTAGGAACTAAAGGTATGCAGACTTTTGAACAGGGGTCATTTCATTTGTTTACTTGTTGCCATGTTTTGTTTTATGATTGTCCTATTCTGTTATGAATTACAGCTGAATATGAATCTAATGAGAAATAAAAGAAAAGTGTTTGCCTGCTCACTCATGTTTTCTTTAACCAATTGCCTACAGGGCACTTATACCCCCTTCCTGCCCAGGCCAATTTTCAGCTTTCAGTGCTGGCGCATTTGAATGAAAATTGCGCGGTCATGCAACATTGTACTCATATGAAATTTTATAATTTTTTTTAGACAGATAGAGCTTTCTTTTGGTGGTATTTAATCACCACTTGGTGTTTTATTTTTTGCTAAACAAACCAAAAAAAACAACTGAAAATTTTGAAAAAAAAGTTTTTTCTTAGTTTCTGTTATCAAATTGTGTAAATAAGTGATTTTTCTCCTTCTCTGATGTGCGCTAATGAGGCTGCAGTGATGGGCACTGATAGGCTGCACTGATGGGCATGGATAGGCGGCACTAATGGGCACTGATGAGGAGGCACTGGTATGTGGCACTGATGGGCATTGACAGGCATCACTGATGGGCACTGAAAGGCAGCACTCATATATCGCACTGATAGGTCAGCACTTATAGGCAGCACTGACTGGCACTGATAGGTGGCACTGACTGGCACTGTTAGGTTCCACTGACTGGCACTGTTAGGCGGCACTGATGTGCACTGATATACGGCACTGATGCACACTGATAGGCGGCACTGACTGGCACTGAGAGGTGACACTGATTGGCACTGATAGGTGTCACTGACTGACACTGATAGGTGGCACTGAAAGGCAGCTCAGATGGACACTGATATGTGGCATTGATGTGCACTGGTAGGCACTGATATGTGGTACTGATGTGGCACTGGCAGGTGGCATTGATGGACACTGACAGATGGCACTGATGGGGCTACACTGATCATCAGTGTCCTGATGATCCGTGTACATGTCCCCTCTGAGTAATGCCTATTACCGACTCTCCTCTCCTCATGAGCTGTCAGCAATATTGTGCTCAGCATGCAGCAGATGTGCTCTCCATGATTCTGTCAGCACCAAAAGGAAGAACTTATCTGAGCAGTTTAAAAATAAATCATCTTTCGGCTCCTCCAATTGCACAGTGCATGTTGGGATCTGGATTGAAGGGAGTCTATTCCTCCCATTATATGGCTGCTATCTCAAACCACAACTCCCAGCATTCCTAGCACTCTGCATAGAAGTCTACATCCTTGCTTGGCTCTACCTCCCCTCCTGCTGGCCAGAAGAGAATGGTGCATCAGTATCTCAGTAGAGGTGGAGAAGAATAAAAATGTAATGTCCACTTCTCCATATTGCCATAAACCAGCCCCTGGCTATAGGTACAATATCATTTGAACATGAAGTTAGATATCATTAATTATGAATATGTCAATAAAGTGCCTTAAATAGTCATTTGCTTTTTTGTCTTTAATGCATGACAGTTACGTTTTTATTCATACCAAAGTAAATGGTTCCCTCGACAGTGAAACATTTTTATTTGTAAAAACTAAAAATGTGCTCTTTAACTGCTTCCCGTCTGCCCTATAGCAGTAATACTGATACATGGTGGCACGGGTGTCACATATATACGTGATTTTGCATTTCCGGGTAGGGGAAATGCAAGAGCTGCACGCACACCCTACCTGCGCTGCTATTCACGGCCTCGGCTGTCAATCACCGGGTCTTGGCCGGTGATTATTGCTGGCACCCGGTGATTGAGGAGCAATGCCAATGGAGGGAGAGAACTGTAAGTAAACAATACAGTTCTCTCCCCTGTCAGCTCCTGCACACTGCTATGCATTGCTTTGCATAGCAGAGCCATGCAAAGAAGTGTGCTTACAGTGAAGCACAAACACACAGCACACAGTAAATCACACACAGCACACAGTTAACCCTTTTATCGCCCACATGTTAACCCCTTCCTGCCCAGTGCCATTAGTACAGTGTCAGTGCTTTTTATTAGCACTGATCACTGTATTGGTGTCACTGGTGATGTCAGTGACGCCAAGTCAGTTCCCCCCCCAGTATCACTGCCTGCTGCAGTCCCGCTATAAGCCACTGGTTGCCACCATTATTAGTTTAATTTAAACGTATTGGGATTTGTTTTAGCAAACATGTAGCAGAATACATTTTGGCCTAAATTTATGATGAAATTATATTTCTTTTATTTTTTTTACTGGACACGTTTAATAGCAAAAATTCCAAAAATATAGTTTTTTTCTTAAAAAATAAAAAACACAAAGGCGATCAAATACCACCGAAAGAAAGCTCTATTCGTGGGGGAAAACAGGATGTAAATTTCATTTGGGTTCAGCTTTGCACGATCGTGAAATTGTCAGTCAAAGTAACGCCATAACGCAAAAAATGCGACTAAGCAAAAAGGAACTCTGGGAACACATGTTCCCTCCTGCGACTAATAACCCCAGAAGTGATGTGTATTAAGTCACTTCCAGCTGTTATTCCTTGGCAAGTGTAGCTGAGGATGCAGCTCCTCCAGCACAATTTAATAGACCTCCAATGTTTCCATAAAAAAAGACTTGTTACTTGCCCATGCTATCACATAGGGGGGTCCTTGAGATAGCAAAAAGGTAAAAAACAATTAAAAAGTGTTTAAAAAAATTGTATAAAATAAATAGAAATAATTAAAAAAAATGTAAAGCACCCCCTGTTATCCCCACATACACCCCATATAAAAAGCACAGCATAGGGCTAGCAAGTGATTTAAAAATTAATCATGCCACATACGTGAGATATCATCTGGAACATTGGAGTGCAATAATTCTAGGGCCATAGTTCACGGTTAAAGTGTTACTAAACCCAGGACCCTGCATTCACTATATCTGGTCTCCCACAGTACACGAAATATGGAAATGCAATTATTTTAGTAAATATAAACAGCTAAATACCTGTTCTCTTCAGCAGTTAGAGCAGTCTTGTGACTTCAGCAGAGCACTGGTTAAAGCTTGTAGGAGGAGTTTTCTTTCTGCTCCAGGAGGTTGTGAAACCCTTGACCCTCTGTCTGGACAGTGCTGATTGGCCACGTGCACCCTCCCAAGAAAAAAAAAAACCCTCTCTAGCAATACACACCAAACTGAGTATGTGCATGTGACCACAGGTTCAGTCTGTACCAGGTGGTCATTTCAACAAGAGGAGTGGCAGAGAAATCAGGATCAAACAGCCTTTTTACACAATGCAGAGGATCAACCCATTAGGTTCCCAGTGAGTATAACAAGCATGCGTATACAGACTGATTATGCTGTTGTGGATTTAGAAACACTTTAACTCTAAACTGATGACCTGTAAAGGCATTCAATGTGTCACCTATGGAGAATATGGGGTAACTGTTTTTTTTTATTCCACAGGCATGCGCAAATTTAAGACTTGATCGGTTTGGCATCTATTTATTCAATCTTATCAAAATCTTATTTATGCAAAAACTCGGTTATGATATTGTGTTTGTTTGCATTAAAATTAATTTTAAAATCGCAACTACCACTATTTATTCTTCAGGGTCTCTGTTTTCAGAAAATATATACTTTTTTTTTGGCGGGGGGATGTGTTAACAGCACATTCTAGCAATAAATGTAAATTTTGTCATGAATGCAGAAAATGAAAACATTGACCCAGTAGACAAGAGGTTAAGAGCAAACAGTGGCATGAAAGCTCCAGACATGCCCTAGCACCATTTGTTTTTTGTCTTTTAAGTAGTTCTAGGTGGTTTTGGAATGACCTAAAGGTAAAGTGAGGGCTGGATTTCCATCACTGGATCCTGTAGCCACATACAATTTGGCACACCCCTCTGCATGGATCACCTCTCTTACATGGAACATATAGTACTCCACTTTTATTGGTTTTATTGGTAGAATATTGTGGCCTTGCATAAATAACGTTATTAAAAAAAGGTACTTTTGCTGATTATAGGGAATAAAAAAGGGACTGAAAAATAAACAGGAAAAAGCCACCTATTTGTTTCCGCTGCCCATAGCAACAGGCTTACTGGGCCTTATGGTGAATCCTGAAACCCTAATAATACTGAGTAAATAAGGAGAGTAAAACTTTTGAGAGTGGTTTGAAAGGGTAAATACAGTATTTTGCTTTGAATATCACCCCTTGTTCTGTGTTGATTTATTACCCTAGTTAGAGAACTCCCCATTCTGTGCCAGTAAGAAAGATGGATATAGTTCCAGAGGACCCTGAGGAGCAATGGTCAAACAGGTGCAGCTGATGGTATAACTCCAATATTAGGGCAGTGGGTGTAAAATGATGCTGCGTAGTAGGATTAAATACATTATTTGACATTCAAATGAGCCATGAACATATTTGGCTATATTTCTCGTTATTCACAGAACATATAGATTAGGTCAGCATAGTATGTTAGCTTCCAGTAAGCTTGCTCCTCAACTTACAACAAGGTGGTCTGAGGGCTGAGCAGCTTCAGAACATCCAGTTCTAATTTTGTTCATAAAAAAAAAGTAAACCCCTGATAGTTGTTAGAAAGGAGAAGCAAAGACCACAATTCAGTGTGAATCTGGCACCCAAATAAAGAACGCAAAGGCAAGCTATTAGCAGTAATGAAGAGATACATGATATGATTTGGATCCAAATCCAGAATGGCTGCTGTTCTATTTCCCAGAAGCCATCAGGATAAAATTATGTCATTCACGCCACACTTGCAACTTTGTTGGGAAGCAGAAATGTGCAGCTTTTGGTAAAATAAAACAGCAGGTGAAAATGTAGAGGATATGAGACTGCATAAAACATGATTGTTAAAAAAGTTATGTTTTTTTTTTAACTCCTCAGTTTAAAGAACTCTGAATATTCATTTAAATAGAACCTTCTGAGGAGTGCTGAATAAAGACGTACAGGGTCATTTAAGGTGAATTTAGGTTGTGTGATGCTACACATGGTTGTTCTGTAATATATAAGCATGTTTTATGACTCTAATGCTGCATTTGGGTTACTTAGAGACCAGGATTTTGAACATATTGCCAAAACTAAATGTTACAGGGCCAAAACTTTATTTCCTAAACTATCATGAAAATTTCTTGTAAGGAGCAATTGCAGAAGCACTGTCATGACAAAAAAAGTTTTGAACTTGTACTAAGGAAAGTTAAGTTAAAGTAAATGTATTATCAGATGGTGACTTAAAGTGTATTTCCACTTCTTCAGCCAAATTGGGATAACATTTACTTTATATTATATTTTTTACATCAACTTACTATATTTAAAATATTTAAAAATTGCTGCTTGCTTTTTACTTGCTGAAAAATCTTACTTAGCTTTCTCCTTCTATGTAATGTTAACCCCCCTGGCGGTATTCCCGAGTGTAGCTTGGGGTTAACTTTCAGTACCAGAAGCGGTAACCCCGAGCTACACTCGGGATTACACTGCAGCTTTGCTCTGGGATCCCTCCAGCACTTACCTTGTCCTGCGCTCCCGCGATGTCCCTCCTGCAGTGTCCCCAGCCGATGCTGGCATCTGTCTTCTGGGTTCCATTCCCTGCGAGTGTCGGGATGTACAGGGGACGGAACCGGCAGGAATTTCAAAAATTTTAAAATTTAAATACACTAAAATCTGATAGTATTACATTACTGTATCAAACCATTTCACATACATTTTGTCTTTAGGTCAAAAGCGGTTTTAGACCAGCTAGAGAACAGCAATAATAAATTAGAACCACTTGCAGAATTGAGTGATAATGATTCGTGGGGAAATACGTCATCAGACACGGAAAACGATTTTGCGACTAAGCTTAGGGATGTGCGAACTTGGCGCTCTATTTCAAATTTCAGTGTTTTTGGTTTGATTATATTATTGAATTAAATTTATTATTATTATATTATTATTTTTTATGATTATTTATTATATTATAATTTATGATTTTATGTTTCAAATTTTATCATACCCGGGATGTTTACTAGACTCTTGTTCGGACAGATTTCAGGGAGTTATTCCTAAGAATTACAGGCCTACAATAACAAACCAACATATTTCCATTGAAAATAATGTACCACTTTGAGCACAGAAATACTGACATAATCAGACCACTAGGGTGGTTAGGAAGGGGGCTCCATTTTTTTCTTTTGTGTTCCCACCCTCCTGAATAAAAAAAAAGTGCCCAAAATTACTTACCTTTGCCATGCTGGAGTCTAGCCTTTCATTGAACCTTCCCCCTGGCGGGGTGATTCATCACACAGGCTGAGCTTACATTACTCTAGGACTGAACCGTCACTCATACTTCATTACACGGACATGCTCCTATTCACATAGCACAACTTATAAATAGTTAAAAACTGCAACTTATATTTTTTACAGATCTTTGGCAGACAACTCCCCTCAGTCAGCTTACTGTAGAACCAGGGTCACTCTCTCTAACTTCAGGCCCTCAGGTCAACCCACCTGAGGACACATGGTGAGGCAGCCTGCCTTCAGCCTGGCATGATACAAAGACACTGAACCCATGTGCTCTCAGAATATAAATACTATTCCCAGCATTCAGTGGGGCAACCCTCCCCTGCAATTGGCCAGGGCTGTAGCCCTGCCTAGCCCCTACCCATGTTCTGGAAGGCTCTCATAGCTTCCTCAAGGCAGGCAGAATTCAGACAAACTCCAACAGCATTAGAGCAGCATGAGCAGACCTAACTAATCAATCACAGCAATCTGTTAAGCAGAATACCACACTGAATTTACATGACAGCCTCTCTGATAATCAGAGAAACACAGCTATGCTTAATCTATACACATCCTAGCACCTAACTAAGAGGGCGCTACAAAAATAATAGCTAAAAAAGTAACAAATATATATATATTTAAAAAAAAAATAAATAGGCATGTTACATGAATGAGATCATGTACCAGTGAGGTTTTCTCATGTTTGATAACAAAAATGCTTTAACCCTTTCACTGCCAGGTCTGTACGTTGTCAGACAGCAGAGGGTTTTACACACACTCCAGGATTTTGTGTACTTCTGAAAAGTAGACTCCTACCTGTCAGATGGAAACATTCTGGCAGCTGTGCTACCACCTGTTTGCTTCCATACACCCCTGGTAAC